CCGAAGTGCGTATCTGCCGCCAAGAGTGTCTACCTCGTGCCGTTACAGTCACACAATTCTCTACCGCCTCCGCTATGTTTCTTTACCTTCGGCCTCAAACTACTGTACCCAGACTATTTACACCTTGTTAACTCAAGCTGGGTCCCATCCATGGGTAACTCTGCTGGCACTATTTATTGTCTGGTGATCTACTTTGCCGAGATCTAGCTAACATAAAGCTAAAGCCTTATGTATATACTCTTAAGAACCTCTGACCACGTGCAGTGCACGCACATCAAACATTTGTGCTAAATTGCGCAATTAAATAGCCTCTTGCTTCGTTCCACAGACTATCTATTCACACACATAACATTGTGGTGCATTTCTGTTCGTATGACGGTTCAAACGCATCGCCTTTGTTCAGCTGCTGACTCTAAAAATCTCTATTTAACCGTTGCGGCCCATATGGTAGGTGCCGTTCCATTTCCCTCATTAATTCGCCTGTTCCAGTGACTGCTCTTTGCTCGTTAGAGCCCAGGGAGCCACTCCAAGGCCTAGCTTTTACTTCTGACTGATTAAGATATCTGGCAACTAGAGTTCTTTATTAGTACACAAACCGTAATTATGGCCGCTTGGTGGTCTGTCTCCCCGCAGGCCTGGTAGCATGCCCGAGGGACGAAAACCTAGTACGGTAGTCAGGTACGTCCTCCGCGGAGCGTCATCTTGTTACGCTGCACCATGGAGCGTTCTTACACTCGATACCCCTCCGGTTGCACGGGTATTTCGTCTGTTGCCGCAAGCATGGATTTTAGTACAGAAGCTCCACAGAAGTGCACTGTAGTTAACTGTCCCTTGCTGAGGTTTCAGCATTCTGTTGATTGTCATTCATCTGCATTTTTGCGTGTCCATAGTACATGGAGTACCTTGAGGCTAGGTTACGACGCTGACGACTTACACCAGTCTGCAAAGCCGTTGACACTTCGTCTCGACTGAGGATGCGCCGCACCAAATCTACTTCGTCAGCGAAACATAAAACACATTTTCGCCTCCGTATCCCGTGAGGTGATCACATATGCATTAATATGCATCACTATTTCCTGGATGCCAGCCATCACGGCCAGCGCTTATTGACAGCTTTTGTCGTACATTATTCGCTGCATGGAAGTGGCGGCAACGACTTAGTGATTGACGAACAAACAATTACGTTTCTTTCCAGTTGACGTAGTGGTTCCGAGTTCCAGCGTGATCAGGGGAAGAGGCATGGGGATAGCGCGAAGGAGAGCGGATACGAAGATTAACCCCATAAGAATCACCGCGCATGGAAGTGCGGCAACGACTTAGTGATTGACGAACAAACAATTACGTTTCTTTCCAGTTGACGTAGTGGTTCCGAGTTCCAGCGTGATCAGGGGAAGAGGCATGGGGATAGCGCGAAGGAGAGCGGATACGAAGATTAACCCCATAAGAATCACCGCTTTTGCAGAAACATCATCACCATTTTCTTGCACTCTCAAAGCTATGGGCGGCACTTTCATTATTGGCCAGTTTGCTGAAGTAGCGTGTGAAACCAGCTTCCTAAAATCAGCGCATATGGTCGCCAGGTTTGTTCTCTACCTTTTTTGGTATTTTAGTTTATCCCAAGAAACTAAACTCTCTCCATTTGCTCTATGTTGAGTATTGCTCCATGTGGGCGACCCCTAGGTCTAATGTCATTGTGGACGCTGTGACTTACATTTTAGCACACCTGTGAAAATAACCCGGTTGAGCTCGCTTCTGTCCCGCTTCCGTCTGGGGGCCAATGTATATTTATTCGGTTAAATGTAATCATTCGTTCAATTACCGGGTATTGATCTTTCTTGTCTCACTTTGCTATGACTGCGCCACTCAACCTAGAAAGCGCATAATGGCTATAGGAAATCCGACCCCGGAAGCTTGGGCAATGGCCTCGACCATGTGTATCAGTTCGCGGTAGTTCGGATGACTTCTGCAGGTCAGTCCGCCTCTAGTGGAATCCAACAGGTTGCGAAGATTTTATTTTATTCTATTCTACATTTGTTTTTACTATACGAACACGACCGATATTCCGCTTTTTCCCATCGTAGAAAATCCTCAAAACCCCGGCGTACAAGTCGGCGAGGGGGGAACGTTTTCCACCTTCGTAGCTGTTTCACTCTGAACTAATTTCTTAGACAGGACGGTCGGCCTCCTTTCCCCCAGTAACTTCACTGGAGATATGGACTTCCCCCGTTTGCATGTTTTTAGCTTTTCATGTTGACCCGCCACTCATAAATTTCACAAACCTCTTCGGCTTTTGTCGGGGCAACAAACTTGGGTACCACCTTCCACGTTAAAATCCATCATCCAAGTGTTCAGGCCGTGTTCTTCCTCCATCCTCTTCCAGGCACATAACCTGAAACTGAGGCAGAGTGAACAAACTACCCATCCGAGTCTAAGAGCCTTTGGCCTTTCACTCTTGCGTAAAACTATTGGACAAACTAACACGGTAACCGCGTCAAACCTGTAGATGAGAGGCTGGCAGCTCTCTTCAATCTGTAGGCGACGGAATGCACCAAGAAGACCTTGAAACCGACCTCTACCGACGTCGTAATCTCCTTTCCTTTAAAATTGGTCCAGATGTTCTACGACTCCTAACCGAATTGCAGTGGGCTGAGCGCCAGAAGGAAGCCTCTCAAGGCAGGGTAGGGCAAGGTTGTATGGCAGTACTTTTTCTATTTTTGAGTTTAAAACATCTTGCGCCAAAGTGTTGTAGCCGCTATGTCTAGAACACATTCTCAGGGTCCATCGGCCCCCAGGTTCCAATACACTGGTCGGCGATGCCTTAGTTCACGCTACGATTCTGAGGAGCAGCGTTACATTCGACTTCACGTATCCACCTTTCACTTGAGATAGGGAAACTCCGACATCTAATAGCATTTGATCCCCTCGATCCCAAAGCCAAACTAATCGCTTGTATCAACGACTCAATCGCTCTGCTGCTGACTATTGCCAAACCAACCCATCGTGAACCAATCACAGAGCTCGTTCATCCGGACGTCGTTTGTCCCGTTACACATGGCGTTTGATTCTCCCCTAAATGGCTATAAGAAGTTGTTGGTTGGTCACCAGTCGGAGAAGACTGGGATCTCAACCAAACGGATTTCCCTAAAGGCGCTAACAAGTAGTGACTTATTTTTGATGCAGCGTCTTCTTGTTCAGGTGCCAACAGTCACATCCCAATTTCTTCTGCATTTGAAACCGCTTGGCCCAAGTTGAAGCGAGCCACTACTGCCGTACTGCAGAGTAAACCAGTGGAATTTACACTCGAAGAACTCTACAGGGTTTGAAATCCGTTTTGTTTCTAATATGCTAGAATGTTGAGGATATATGTGCACAGCGGATGCTGCTGGATCTATACTCGACCCTGAAGGTTCTCTTGAAAGACTACGTTGCGGAGCTGCTACCAGTTTTCCTTAAATATCCTTTTGGTACTGATCTTTCAAGCCCAATTTTACCCGGTTTCAACGTCCTGACCTTTTTCTCGACCTGTCGCATTATAGTTTTGTAGTGTCTCACATTAGGCCATGTGCACATGGAACGCGAAAGGCACAGGCTAAATAGCAATAGAGTCTTTTTAGGAGTTCAGTAAGCCATCGATAACTAAGGTTCGGTGAACGATACTGGCCTGCTTGTTTCACTGCTGAGAGGAGCCTTCTTACATGGACTGTTGCTTTTCATGTGCCATATAATGTTGATGGCTAATTTCCCTTTCCGTATCATTGATCGGTCCACCATCGCACTTTGCAAATAGAAATATTAGACATAACTTTTTGTGTACGTTACGTGATCATGGATTCGGAATAGACCTTTAGTGGGGTATCTTCTGAAACACCGAGTATCCAGCCATAATAGATATACCACGAAGTGGTTCTGTGGCGTGCATTAGTATTGGCCTGGTCAACGAAGCGGAAGCAGATGTGGTTATGATGAACTTAGATGAATATAATCTAGGATGAAGGTATCCAAAGTATGTAGTTCAGGCAGTCGCGGCATAAGGTTCTACAGAAAAAAGCTGATTAGGTGACTATGCGATACAGGACGTCACCGTGCGAATAAAATTAACTTGTGGAGTCCCCCGCCTACTCCGTACTTACCGTGTGCCCGTCGTCAAACTACCGTTCTTCCAGAGCCTCTATACTAAGATCGGAAGAACGGGGTTCATACGAAATGGTTAGGGGAGCATCGATAACTAAAGTTGCTCTTTTGACACCATCGTTGTGACCTTGGTGTGAGGTGCATTATGGTGCAACTCCATGAGCTCGAGATAGCTCAGTGTTTAAGGTGCCAGCTTACGGACTGGAAGTTCCGTGGTTCAAACTCAGCCTCAGCATTTTGATTGCTCGTGTACGGGCTTGGGCGACCTGGCAGTATCCCATCCCTCGTGCTTCCTTCAAGTGGCGCGGTAGTTAGACACCGAACGACTTTCACAGGTCAAGCACTGGAGATTATTTCCTCGGATCGTATCATTTGTTTGCTCACCACAAAACTGAGCCCTTGTCCTAACGGACAACGCTTCTCTTCACCTAGTGGTCACTTAGTGGTAACTGTTGAATGTGAGCGCGGGATGTGGATCCAACGACTGAGGGATGAGTGGCGCTCTGTCTGGTCTAGGTACGACCAACTGATTGTGGCCGAACGGTTAAGTATTCAAACTACTGGATGGGAGGTCGAGGGTTCGAAACTCCATGGAGTCTCGTGAGATGTTCACTACTGATGATTCCCAATGCGGCTTTTCATCATAGGTTGGCTTCATTTTCAGGATGAAACCTCCAAAAAACAGCTCAATATACCCGGTTTAAGTCCGAAAGGTACGCATAAGTCTAGCAGATGCAGGATCATGTTTGTGGCCACTGCTGTCAAGCTTTCGCTCCACGATACTTCAGTGATTCGTTGCAGTAAGTGTGGAATGTCCAACAAATCAAGTTCAACAGTCAACGTCAGTAATGTGTACCAGAGGCGACCTATGTGGCTGAATTAGGTGTCTCATGCCTCTAATTTTGCTGTTCCTTTACCTATTTGTTTCACTGAAGCTATGCAGCTTGGTTCCGTGGCAAACTCCTGGGAAGTCTATTGCAAGAAGATGGTGAGTTAGTACACACTTCCTTACCAATCTTCAGCTGTTAATCCGCAACATATTCCTCTTTATGGACCGCCAACTGCTGATATCAAACTCTCAGTATGTGCAAATATGGTGAGTTTGTCAGTTTTTATAGTTTGCTGTTTGCCGTTTTCGATTATTGCGTCAACTGACAAACACGAATTCCTTGGCTAACTTGATTAGGCAACGGAAGAGGCACTTGTAGATGTAACAAGACTGGTGTGCGATAATTGGTTGGTGATTCTTCTGAATTAGCCTGCCCTAACTCCGTTCTCTCTCGCTTTGACGGCCGTGTTTGTCGACGGACACGAGAAATGATCGTTCATTCCATGTTTGATTTTTCTAACCATCGTCATTTTGTACGACATCGTTTTTAAAGCTGATGCTGCTTCGCTGCAGAGTCACTGTTTATTTTATGAGACCCGAAACGTGGAAAAAATGGGTGACGCCATCCAATACTAACAACGATTCCGAGACTTTGATCGTCCAAGTCTCAAGGTGACCCTAGGAGACCCATCCGAAGGGGCTGTTCCTCGCAACTTCGTACCGAGCAGCTCCTACTGAATTCTGGTGCCCACAGCTCTCGAGATCCGATAACATCTTTTCGATGCTGGAGCTCGTGATAGTTTAGTGGTTGGGGGCGCGAACATACTGACCTGAAGATGGAGAATATCTTTGGTTCCTTTCAGTTAAGGAATGTTGTGCCTATCACTTGATTTTCACTGGCCCGAACTTGTCGTGGGAGACAGTGCTGAGTACCCGTTACTCCTCCAATTGTCAATTTCTCCATCACTTATCAAATTTGTTAGCGCTGGTTTGTAGCGGGAGGCGAGATGACTCAGTGGTTATAGCGCGAATTTACAGTCAACTTAGCTATGTTGCGGGGCGACAAAGGTTTCTTTAGCTACAGGTCAGCTGCTTTTCCAGTTGATGAGTTGATTCGGCCTCACCAACCATGCTGGCTCGGCTTTGTCTCCCGCATGGGCAGTGAATGGTTACACCATTTCTATGCTCGTTGCCTTTACCTACGGTCACCCGGATCACTGTAGTCATGTGGACGTTTCACGGTTGTCTAACTGACCGACTTACCTGAATTTAAGTGAGAACCACTGGGGCTACCTACGGTGGTTTGTAGTCCTGAGATATAAATGGCCATGGACCGAAGGTTGCTTCCGATACGTTAGTGATGCGTCAGTGTCACCACTGATGTTGCTGTTTATGATGGTGTTGGTGCTTCCGATCCTCTGCTTGCAGTCGTCGATAGTGTTGTGGACCACACACGGCCCTTAGTCCCCAAAGTTATTCCTCCTTGATGCAGTCAGTGGCGAGAAATTGGTTGAAGCAATAGTGGTCTTTGAAGTTAGTGTGAAGACTTCGTTTCTCACCATCATAATTAACTTCCGACATACGTAAAACTTCCCGTCATCTCTAGTGTGTTCCCTCCGATTCAAGAGACCTTGAACTAACCCAATGTCTGAGGTGTGTCGCTGCTTACCAGGAGGCTCGTGGTTCTGGCCTGGCTCTTCGGTTGTTCCTGTCTGTGCATGGATAACCGGATATTGTCTCCACCGTTGCGCTTCCTTCAGGTTGCAGGATAGCTGTGCACTGAAAAAGTGGCGCAGCCGAACGCTCATTATTTGTTTTTTTCTTGATTTCAAGGAGCTTATCTACCGCAGTTGTCTGACCATTGGTAAGGTGAACTAGTTCCTTTTGGACTGCGCTGCATCTATCTGTCTGAGGGTTCCAAATCTATTCGACGTTTTTAGGAGAAATACAACGATTACTTGTGGCGGTCCTAACGAATGCGCAGGGTCTGCGTCTCGAATTTTGTTCATTCTGCTCGATAAAGCCTCCGTTTTGAGCATTTACTCGGACAGCATGCTGAAAACCAAGTTAAAATAATAAGTCTTATTAATATAATCCGTTGTAGAAAATCCGCACAATCAACAACACCGATACCGAGATTGGCGAGGGTTTCAAGGATGCTGGTTTATCTCTGCTTGTCGCTGACTTTGTGGCCGAAGCAGTGTCAAGAAAGCTCCGAGCAGGTATCGAAACGACTCATGCAGCAGCAAAGTCCGACTGAAAGTTGTTCTTAGCATGCGACCAAGGGACAATTTTAAGCGGTCTACACCGAGCTCTTGTGTGTACTCTTTCGGAGGCCCATTCAGAGCATCATATACAGGTATTATCTGGTAGAATCCATGAGCATGCCCCTTCCGGTTAACTCGAATTAAAAATCAACTCCAATTCAGTTTTCATGCATTTTGTGGATTCCAACCATACTTTTCTTCAGGGTAAAACCTTTCAGGTGGTGCACCGAGTTTCGGCAAAGCACTCTTAGTTAAGACGAACCCGACTGCTCACTGTTATCTAGGCGATATCCATTAGGCCGCACAAACCCAACCTCTATGCATAAAAACAACTTGCGAACTCTGGACGGCGACAATTGTGAACCCAAACAGCTATTTAGTTATTTAGTGCCTGACACTGACCTGATCCTTAATTGCAACTAGTGAGTATTATGAAACGTGCTGTGAACAGCTAACGTTTATATTCTCTGTTTTTATGGATTGTTTTTCTGCGCTCATGTAAATTGCCGGAAGATTGCATAGCGAAAGTGGCACGCGTTTTCTGTTAGCCAAATCCTACTAAGTTTTCGGGTGAGATGTTTTTAAGGCACCCTTCTTAGTTTTTATCATAGTCCCTGGATTAACAGTTTTGCTTTTTGGCTTTTTGTGTTAGGGACTTGGCGCTCAATCTCTTTCGCGAGGAGGTAATTTCCCATGATAAAGTGGAAGGTCGGATCCTACGACAACTGTTCGATGAGATACGAAAAGAAAGATCAGGGGAAGCTGTCAACCGAAATTTATTGCGTTCGATAATTCGCATGTTTGTTGATCTTAAGGTAAGTCAAATTTTGGAGATGAGACCCCAGATATAGCACGGTATTCTGATTCATCACCTTAGAGTCAGGTGTTATTGTTTGCCTGAAAGCTGCTAGTCCTGTGGCCTGGCATTTTGTGGTTTGTTGCGTGGTCAGGCTCAACGACTCAACTCTATATTGTTGTTGTTGCCACTCTGGATTGGAGCACGTTTGACACGCATATTAGCTCATAGGTTGGTCTGCTAGATTGCTTACGTTCGTAATCCGTGTGACTATTTTGGTCATACTTCTGTATCGACTTGCAGACAGCACCCGGTCTACCACGTAAAGTGATACTTTGTGAGTAGCCATTAAAGTGCAGTCTTAATGTTTGCGAGTAAAACTGACAATAATTTCGACGTTGTTTTGATGCGCAAAGACAACCGAGAAATCAGTGCCCCAATGACGCACTTTTCATGTCTTCGTTACTCACTGGAAACTTAGCATTGGTTACCTGAGCATTCTAGCATTTGGCATTCCAGGTTAGCTGCACTTGACACAAAACTCACTCTGTAAACACTGACAGACAGCTACATAGACATACATTAGCCCTAACTATTTAACTGAAGATCAGTTATCTAATTGGTCATTTGATCAACTTTTTCATCATTTCCTCCCGGAACCTGCTTGTGCCATTTCCTAACACTTTTTGGAACTTTCTGCGCTTAGCATTTCTTATCTTTACACTTCCCACAGCTTTATCAGTCAACTTTTTTGCCGGAATTCATTCGTCAAAGTCAGCAATTTTATGCACAGGAATCCAGTTCGTTTTTACGGTTGATGAGCGTTCCAGACTACTTGGTGCATGTGGATAAAAGAATTAAAGAAGAGGAAGATCGCCTAGTTTCCTATTTGGAGCCAAACTCAACCCGAAAGTTGCTGCTATCCACTTTGGTTTCAGAACTGCTCACACGAACTCTGGATTATCTGCTTGAGAATGGCCTTGTTGGGTCTCTGAAAGCCAAAGAGACAAAACAGCTAGGTCTGTTTTATTCCCTACTGTCTAAAGTCCCCAATGGAGTTGACAAGTTGCGGACACACTTCAGACAGTACGTAATCCAACTTGGTCGCGATTTAGTTGAGAATCCAACACAAGACCCGGAAAAAGACCGCAACATGATTCAAAACCTGATCAGTTGCCGGGACTACCTATCAGAGCTCATTGCTGTCTGTTTTGCGAATGATGCCAATTTCACTCGTGTATTGCAGGAAGCCTATGAGGAGTTTATCAATCAACGGCCAAACAAACCTGCTGAGTTTTTGGCGAAATATCTCGATGCTCATCTACGATCGGGGAACAAGGCGCAGACGGACGAGGAGTTAGACAAACTCATGGACAAGGTAATGTCTTCTGTTAGGTGACTACAGTGAGTGTTCTGCCTGGCGATTAGCCCCTTGGCGATGTAAGCTTGGAGGGAGTGTAAGCAGGATACAAGTATCTGTCAGTTTGTCGTAGGAAAAGTGCTGTTGGCTCCTCTGAAAGTGAAAATTCACACCTTAGGGAAGGGTCGTGTCATTTTCTGGTCCACCAAGCAAAGGAGTGAGCAGGTTAATTTACCAGTGCATGTGTAACTCCAATCGCGCACAATTTGTTTTTCAAGTGCTACCAACACCCGGCGGAGATCGCTTGGCTATACCGGGTCGATTTTACAAAACAGTGGCTTTCAGTTGGTGTGTGGGCTGTATTCTTCAGCTGTATTTTGGTTTACCATTAGTCCTCACCATCCGGTATTTGACCGGTTGCAACTTTCTGTGTTGACTATGGAAATATGTTATTCTCTCCGAGTAAACAAAGGGCTATAGAGGTTTTATCCACACATCCGGTTTACTCTTTGGTGCCTTATCCATCAACTCGCCTACCATATGCCACAACTCCCTATTTACTTCGTATTTTCGGGTAAATGCTATCCTTAGCAGTGTTGCTTGGAGGATTCTACACTCATCCCATAGGTGTGACGATGTTTGCAGTGGACAATCTGTTCGACTTCTTTCTCCAGCATTTATAAGTGATCTTTTCTTTTATTTACAGGCTATGATGCTGTTCCGCTACATAGACGGCAAGGATATCTTCGAAGCTTTCTACACCAAAGAGTTGGCGAAACGTTTGCTGTTGAACAAAAGCGCATCCGTGGATGCGGAGAAGTCCATGCTATCCAAACTAAAGCAAGGTATTCCGTGATGTGGAGGTTGAGTTAGAATAGCCTATTGCGATTAAGTCCCATTTAGCTAGAAACCTGTCCTCCCGAGCTACAAGTTTCGACACATTGTTAACAAACCATTCCAATATTTACCACCATGTAATCCCTACGTTTTGTGGCTAACTCGGTAACACTTTGACTGCATGTCCTAGCATTCGGAGGCGGTTATTAGGATTCCGTTACTGGCGGTTACGCGGGAGTTTAGTTCTGATCAGTTTTCAGTACTTGGCATCCAAAATGTTTGTCGGGTTCCAGCTTAATCCAGCCCTCCTAATGTTGGATGGCAGGTATCTTAGTTTTTTTAGTTGCAGAATAAGATCAACCTGAACACGGACGTCTCCACGTGACAGTGAAATAAACTTCTTATCTGTGTTACGTTATCTTTCGCAGTTACGTCTGTTTCCATAGCAGTGCTCTTTCTGCATACGAGCACGCTGCTTCATGTCGTGTATTTTGTCCACCATCGGTTTGTGCACGCATTTTGAATACTCTTTAGTTTGCTTTGTTCTTTGAGTATTTCTATCGTGCTAGAGAGAGAGAGAGAGTGTGTGTGTGTGTGAGAGAGAGAGAGAGAGAGAGAGAGTAACGACCGTTGTTGTTCGGGCACATATGAGACCAAAGTAAACAACCTTTTAAGTAGTAATTTTTCTGTCCACACCTTATTAACCCCATAAATTTAATGTCCCAGTAGTATCGGTAGAATAAGGAAAGGGATGCTACGTCTCAACGGCTGAAAACGGACTAAAATCCATCAGTCAGAATAAGGAAAGCAATGAAAACTAACAAGTTTCTGCTGGATTTGGTCAAGAACTAAAACTTGGGTGGTGCGAACCCACTGCAGATGACGACAGTATTACATGGTTGGTAAAGAACCTGGGACTTATTGGTCAGGAATAGTTGGCAGTGGAAAAGAATTTCCAGAAATAGAATGGAAACCCTATCTTTTTATAGGAATGAGCTGCAGTTTGTTGACGTGAAACGACCGGGAAATATTCTCAGAATGATAAGTCAAAAAGATAATATTTCGACGAATGCGGGATAGAGTCAGAGGCGATGGGTAGTTTAATTGGTGTAGAGGAGACATGTGAGGATGCAAATGCTCCTGATAACCCCCATATTTGAATGGCATCCATTGTGCCAATGGTTTGCACGCGTTTGTCATCAAATTGAGATGGGGCAGATCGTCCTGAGTGATACAAAGTGGATTTGTGGTACACAGTGGTGTCAGCAAATGATCAGATACAACTACCGGTGGATGAAAGTAGGTGGCTTATGAATACCAGAAGAATAAAAGGGGAGATGCAACGCAGCCCTACATTGATGCTGTGGATTTGAAAATCTGTGCCATTTAGGCGAGCTAATAAAGACCGGTTTGTGAATATATTTCCAGTGCAGTTGGTCAAAAGAGAATTTGGAGAAGATATGGATAGGTTGGTGTGAAGGCCCTCATACTACATTTAGTCGAAGGCTTTCGAAGCTTGCTTCAATTTCAAAAAAAGAGTTAAGGACAGATTAACAGATGTGAGAAACGCATGGCAACAGGCCACCAGAATATCGATGGGACCTAAATCTATTTTGGTGGTCGATCAAGGGGACATTGCATTCGAGATCTTAAGGGATTTGTTTGGCAGTGATCGACTCCAGAACTTCAGATAAAGCGGGCCGTATTGAAATAGGGGTGGTAGGTGTTGGGGTCAGAAAGAGATCTACGTTTCGTGGTAATTTTCTCAAGATGATACAACACTAGTGGATAGGCAGAACCGACTGGCAACTATAATGGCAAGTTCTCGAACGCAAACTCAGAGCGCGAAGGGTGCTGTAATTTTGATTTGTCAAGAGAAGGGAGACAATGGGGCTATGATAAGTGTTCTTATCAGGCGAACCTGGATTAGTAACCTTTGCGTATTCTCAGTAGACTGCCTTTTTATGTAAACTACGGCCGTTGGTCTTAACTAGCGTGTAACTCAGCGCGTATGGGTCGTTGTTTATCGAAAACAACCTTGAAACGCTTTCCAAAGTAGTTTAGTAGTTGAATTAATAAGGCTTCTGTTCATAATCGCACATCGCGGTATTACCACTTAGTCTCCAACAGCACTATTCAACTACCCTTCCTAGTGGGATCGTTTTTTATTTAGGTAACTAGAGAGAGATAAGATGTGCATTGGTTAGCTGGTGTATGGAGGAAATCCTTCGACTGTACTTCAGCTATGTAACATCCTTTCGGATACACTTTAACCAAGAAATCTGCTAACATCAGGATCCACCCTTCTGCATAATTTTACGGCCATGTGATAAGAAGTCTAGCGTCTTCATTTCTGGACTATCCTTACAACTTACCATAATGAGCGAAGCCGTTACGCCTGAAAACGCGATTTGCATGGTGGGTTATCTAAAATTTCCAGGCTCAGGTTTCTTGTTGAACGGCCATCCTTAGGGATCAAGCGCCTTTGGTCGACTTTCTCCCTGGAGTTGCTGCTTTACTGCCACGGCGGTTGATAGTTTTTCCTGGCTTTCCTACATGGTCGATTTGCTGTGAGTTCATGCACCTTCTAGTTTTGATGCTTACCCTAACGGCTTCACAGCAATAAAAATTCCTATGACTGAAATGGATGTCCTTCCTTTTCTGCATAATAGTTTCCAACTTTACCAGCTGACGGCTAAAGGATCAGCGTCAACCATCTTTGATATGGCGGTACGGTCGCTGTTTATTCGCTCCCTAATGCACACAAAAGGTATCATGTAGTGAGAAATATTAGAGTGGATTTTATAGTGTTTGTTTTAACTGTTCGTCGTCACTCTAACTGTTCAGTTTAATGCCTTGTTTCCAACCCTAACTCTGGAAAGCTTCCAAATAATCGGTACATCGTAAATAACTGCTCAACATTAGCGAATTTACACTCATCTGTAAACTAATTTGGTTCTTTCGAGAGGCTCACCTGGAACCCAGCTGAATCTCTCGTTTATGATGTTCTCAGGATTTTCAGCAACCTTACGAGTAGTACATTACAAATAAACTGCTCAACATGTTCCATTTGCGGTTTACCGGCCATCCGTCTCTCGTTTTGATGTTCTCAGGATTTTCAGCAACCTTACGAGTAGTACATTACAAATAAACTGCTCAACATGTTCCATTTGCGGTTTACCGGCCATCCGCATACTACTTTGCTGCAAGCACTACCTGTATCAATTTGGCCAACGAGATCCAGATACCTTGGGTAGGAAATGATAGTGTGTATCTTCAAAGTTGTGTTCGATTCGATACTTTTACAACTTAACTGATATTTTTCTTTTTATCCACAGAATGCGGGCCCAATTATACACGTAAAATGGAAACAATGTTTCAAGACATCGAACTCAGTAGACAGCTGAGTAAAAACTTCCGTGCTTCCTATTGCCTAGACCACAGTATTGAGTTGTACGTCAACGTTATTTCACCGTCATCCTGGCCAGCTTATCCGCAGACGAAGGCCAATTATCCACCTGAAGTATGTGACTTGGAAAACTTTTCACCTCGGTTGCCTTGTTCCACTAAGGTTTCCGTATTATGTGGATATCTCAACCCAGTGAAATGTCTTTTTGACGCCACAAGGCTTTGAGATCCGTGCACTGACTTCATCAGACACAATTTCATCAGGATTAATGCAACTACCTAGGCATCTGAAATTCTCGATAACTAACTACGTGATCTCAAGCTCATCTGATCTGGTGTATGGCTCCAACAGACAGTCTACGGGAAAACCCCAGTTCATCTGTGTGCTAGTTTCAGGACTTCATAGTAAACTGATTTGTCCGTCATGAACACAGACGTCCGAACAGATCACAGAAAACCACATCGAGATTCAGTGTAGAAGTATGGGTTTCTAGTGAATGGGTAAATGTTCTTCGGTCACAGCCTCCTTAGGTAGTGACATTCTATTTTTATGAATAAATTCCGAGGGGCTTAAGCGTTTTGGCAGATTGCTACGCTTGGCCCATCCATGGACTTATCTTCATTTTCAGAGGCCAATTTTCCCGTGCTGGAGTGTTTGATTTTCGACATTGAAACTGGACTGATTCGACAGCTTTCCATCCTCTGTGTTTTTCTTCAAAAACTTGTGGTTTGCCAATTCATTCGTAATGCTACCACACAGTGTTCATTTCTGGACCAATTGTTGACAAAGCCACTATAAGGCCACTATGTGCTCATTTTCGTTAAGCGTGCCCTAAAAAATAGTTCGGTGATAGTAGGGAGGTAGTCGCATTTTGGAGGGAATAAGCACTTGTATCTCGTATTTACATATACGGCCAACTGACCGTATCAGAAAGTGTTTTTGCGGAGAGGGTCGTTTGATAGAACAGTGTCATTTTGATGTGCATAATAAAGGTAGCTGGCGGCTACTAATAAAGTGCGGTAGTTCCCCATTACAGAGCGCCTATGGGAGCGGTCTAAATGTTTCCTTCGTGTGGTGGTCCCACCGAAACATGTTCACTCTATGGAGGAAAATGTTGGTAGCTCAGGTAGCGCAGATGGTCATTGGTTTGTTCGCTGAGCTGGGCAGTTGGATTGGAAACATTTAATCACCAATTGAGGTGACATCATCAGTGCGTTATTAGGGAGCATAACCACTAAACCACCGCTGCGCACCACTACGCTCTCCAATAACGCACTGATGATGTCACCCCAATTGATGAAACGTTTGCAATCGAACTGCTTAGCTCAGCGAACAAGCCGGCGACCGAGTTCACTCTTTTTTACACTCTTGCATTGCAATTTTGTAAGAAAGCGTATTCTGTCCTTTTTCGGTCACTCACTGTCCAACTTATTCATATATGTTCACATTTTCTGACCTGCATGAAACGAAATGCCATTCACACCTGTTGTTCAACGTTGGTTATTGTCAGAAGTTTACAGTGCCTGTGGAATCTTCATAATTCTCGCTTGATAGTTCTCTCATGGTTCCCAGTGAAGCTCACCGGAATTCCCCCAATTTTTATTTCGCTAGCATCAGTTTCTAAGGTTTTCTTTCGCCTCGTTCCATTCGCTTTTCATAGGCTGTCTGAAAGCCTTTCCTGGCGAATACAATCACCGCCGTGTTACATTGACCGCGTTTAGACGGTTCTAATGGATTGGTGATCATCACAACCGAGTTCACTCAATCCATGTTTAATATAAGGTTATTTTGTTAGCGTGTTCCCCTTATTACGATCGTGGCGTATCCGATTAAGTGGAATCCAGCAATACGAAAATTGCTTTCAAAACTAGATATTCGTGAAATATTTTTGCGAGTCTCTCTGAAAATCCAACAATGCCCGTTTCTTTCCGCGGAACCTAACTTTTTATTATTTTCCATAACAGCGTCTATTTCTCACGAACTTTCAGGCTGTGTGAAAAAATGAGCTCCTGACTACAATTCATCCCCGGCTTTACTTTTGCAGATGATGGCTCTGCGTGATGAATTCACTCGCTTCTACCTGTCACATCATCAAGGCCGAAAACTTCTATACGAACCTTCACTGGGAACCTGTGTAGTGAAAGCTGAGTTCCCACTGGTAAGATTGATGATAGTCCTTGTTCAATAACGCTTCTATCTCAGTTATGAAACCAAATTTTTGTTTCATTTGGCCAACTCATTACTGCAAGACATTCCAGGTGCATGATACCATTCTTTGCTAAAAAGCTCTTTTTGGATTAAATCGACTGCATTTTGCTCGTAGATTGGCCTTGGTAATCCAGAACTTACATCCATAGCCACGGTGTGGTTCCGACATTCTAGTGCATTGTTCCAGCATAATTCTGATGAAACCACCCGGAGCAGTCATCGTGCTGTAAGCCATTGGGTACGTGCTGACAGCTGTCGGGGCTAGTACCTATGTTCTACCTACTACAGAAAGTCGCGGCCACCCCTCTGCACAAAGTCGATCCTTTCCCCGGGGACCCGTTTAAAGTGCCAGAAGAATTCTGGTTAGATTAAATCCGAACTCCCCCCTTTAGTAGAAAAAACACTTTCTTGCCGTTGATATAACTCTTTCGAATTGTTTCTATAATGCCAGCGCGTCTACTGTGTGTATGTTTTATTGGCTGTATCCCAACCTTCGTGCTTCCTTCGGGTGGCATGGCATCTAGACACCGAAAGGGTGTTACAGCCGAACGATTTGTTTTCATCTTATTCATGTTTTATTGGGTCGCGTTTTCAAGACGGAGCCTTGGTAATCTTGCCGTCTGTATTCGACATCCATCAACTGCCTATCCGTGTTCTTGGGTGGGACGATGAGCCTATTGTCACATCCACCTTCTTTGCTATGCGTTCTTGTTGGAGTATAGCTTATGCAGATACACCTGGCGAACATTGAATCCGATGCTGGTGATGGAATATTCCACATCCACTTTGTAACAAATAGGCACTCTGAAACACTTACCTACAGTATCCTTTTTGACACGCTTTCTTAAAACCGTTTCACTACGAACTCTGCGTACGGAATCACGGTGGCATCGGATTTTGCTTATTTAGGGTTAAAGACGTAGAGGCGTCTTAGCCGTTTGACATCCACTTGTGATCCTGGCCATCTCGCAAAACCGGAACAGTTGTCGCTCATTAGCTGAGGCAGGGTGAAAGACATCTTGCTCATAACTTCATGACTTGGCAACACAATGTAGTCAGTTAGGACGTTTTAAAAGAGGGCATGACGTTTTGGACGAATAGTGTGAGCTAATCACACTGCTGATCAGTCGTCCGTGACGTAACAGTTTAGTCTTCAAATGCTAGCCGGTAGGTTGCGGGTTCGTGATGCATGCTGCCGATGATTCCCAACAACTATACATACCCCCTCTGCTTTCCGACATAAATTGACTTCAATTACAGGACCAAATCTTGGTTACCAAACGGACTAGCTTACAAGTTTTGCTACTCTATCGTTCTGACGGTTACTCTCGATTTGAGCGGTTGATTGAAGCGCATTATTTGAAACTGCAGTTGTCCCACAAATTACTGTTACACCAGATATAGGTTTTATTCGTAAACAAGGTGAATTTTATCTAAGTGGATAACAGAGACAAATCACTCAGCGCTCTGGTAACTCGTTTGAAGTTTGCCAGAAGAACATGGAAGATCCCATGAGGATCCGAGGAAACCCCCCCTGGAAAAGAGAGCACGATCGAGCAGTTTATTGTTTTTTTACTTTTGCCGAATTTTATTGGAAACCGAATTCAATTAGTTACCGTTACTTCGATGTACACGCCTCTAAGACATTTTAAGCCTGCGATTTTTCAAGGCGATTCTAGAGTAAACATTACTTTCACAAAGTGGTCAGATTCGTTTGTGGCCCAAATGCGAGGGCACAGTACAGTCACGCATTGAGTGCCCGTTTATTAACTTGTAACAGTGACAACCATTATGGACGCCCAAAATGAAGCAAGGCTAGCCCTCAACTCGGAAGGTAATCTTATTCTACTGTCAAGCCAAGGTTGAGGATGGTCTCTGTGCAATAAGGTGATTCTAATAACCAACTATATCCTCTGGCAGTTTCCTGGTCCCTGTTGTGGGTCGATGTGCATTGTAGGAGATATTATCGCTCTTACTCGTGCTTATTTCCGGAAAAGGCACAAGTACAAGCTAACCCAACATGACTCACCGTTTATCTGATGGAATATGGGCATTACATACGTGATATCAAGTTTGGCGGTCGCCCTTTTGAATCTTTGCTTTTCGCATTTTAGACTCCTCATTTACGCAAAGAACTTCAAGTTTCCGAGTTCCAGGCCTTGGTTTTATTGCAATTCAATGGTGATCCGAATGAATCGGTCAGTTATGCCACTATCGCAGAAGCCACGGGAATTGAAGAAACAGAACTGAAGCGGACGTTGTTGTCCCTGGCTGCTGGGAAAGGTCAGAGGGTGCTCATAAAACATCCCACGGCAAGTGAAGGTTTTTCTTTGGCTCAGTTGTGTCGTGTAGTTGAAGTTACTGTGGTGGTCGGTCGACCCTCTGAGCATAATCGATTGCAGATTGTAGATTGTTTGGAGAATTCAGTTTATTGGAGAAAGGGCTATACCATCCTACTAGGTGGCGCTAATACCAATATTGTGCTTGGTATACCAGATTACTCGCCATTATTTCGTCTGTATCGGAAAAATTTCCGAGAATCGGGCGTATTATCGTTTTCTCTATCGTTGAGTATCAAAAGCGCATTAGCCCTTGCTTTTTTCATCTATTTGGATTCTGTGGTGTTTTCTCGCTGCTCTCATCAGCTAGCTGGTCGTGCTATTCTGCAGGTGACGGCGCATAAGTAATCGCTTCTCTGTGTCGCTTTCCAGAATCTCGATGTGGCCAACGACCACACTTTCAAGTTCAATGCTGAATTTCAACATCGATTAACGCGCATTAAGTTCAACCAGATCCAACTGAGGGAAACGGTAAGTTTGGTTCTCTTCATTTCTCATCATTGTCGTCTGCTGACTTCTCATTGTCACCTAACCATGAAAAGTACCATTGTGGCAAGAATGGATAAAATTTCGCACTTTATCGATGTCACAAGCCTATGCTTCCAACAGCATGTACCACAGAAGACACTACCGTATATGACTAAATTTGTATTGGGTGCAAGATAACGTCGGCTAGACAGCCTCTCCGAGACTTTCACTGCCGATGTATCGTTTCAGTCTTGGTTTAGCAGACCACACAATGACATTACTTTTAAATATCTAACACAATTGAGTAATTAAAAACCATTTGAATATAGTGTACCCGAGTGGTGTAATTCTCTCGTGAATCTGTCCTTGATTAGTTGTGGACTCGAAGAACACACCAGTAGTCGCTACTTCTCATTTCGCTTCACTGATCTGTTCGCTTCGAGCTTTGTCGTTCGAATAAAGACAAAACTTCCAGACTGTATGGGATAGGACTCCCCCAAGACTTTTGTGTCACAGTCGAATCATTAGAGGTATGATTTAACGATTAATAGGATGGGTGTTTCTTCGGTATCTCCGGCACACTTCCAACTGCTTGTTCCCCCATCTCTACGAAGTAACTCCTTCCACTGCGATGGCTGCACACGAAATGTCCCGTCTCGTGCCCCTCATCGAATGTCTACACTTCCATTCTTCCATATTGCGCCTATTTCGTGTGTCTCCGTCATGCGCACAGTCGACTGCTTTGCTAGAAAGGTTTTGAGTTACCTCTAGTGTATCCCCAAAGGACATTCTGCCACGACATTATCAAATTTCCTGAATGGAAGACATGCGGGGAAAGCATCTGACTTTGTGTTTTTTCGTCCCTTTCGAGTCAACTTCCAACAAAAGCTTAGCTTTCTTGAAGTTGAGCACTCATGTGCAAGTTGTGGGTGTATCAATATGAGACACAGTTGTGTCCCTCGTTCAATATTTTCAGTTCTATTCCCTTTGGTTGAGCGAATTCACTGTCATTTGAGGGTAATGCGCTGTTTGCTCCGCAGAGTCCTCAACCATGAAGGCATTTATTCGAAATTTACGAGCCCTTAGGTTTCATCATTACAATCAAGTACTTTAGAAAATGGGTAGGTTCGGTTGTATGAGGGAGACACTCGCAGTTCATAGAGATCAGGCGTGTCTCGTTCATCGGTAGCTCCCTTACCTGTGCGGTCGTGTGAGCAGAAGAGTCGTAACGAGATGCTTCAGTTAAAGTAGGTGATGATACCAGTAGCGGTAATATATGACGTCCTTTTAGAAACAATTCTGTTAAGTGGAGAGATCATTACGTCTTCTAGGGGTAAGGAGTAGTAGCAATAATCGTTCACCGGTGGCACTCGGCGAAGCAGGAGGACTGAGATGGTACCAGGTTTCTGATCCTAGGCAGGAGGAGTCGAGATTTTGCGGTTGGGTTAGAACCAGCCACCGAGCCATTTCGAGCTGGGGTCGGACAGGAAGGCCGAAGGAGAGGACGAATTTACATTACTCTGAGGGACAAACACCTCAAAGAAGGAAGGGGAGTTGGGTCTGTATCCCATAACTGACCACTTCGTTTGTGAATCGATTCGAGCTACTTCTGTGCCATGCCTTTGGTTTGGCTCCTCGACTAAATTTTGGCTCGAAAGCCTGACCACAAAGCAGTGGTGCTTGGCAGGAAATGTCAGTGTACCCCCTTTTATTAAACAACAAGTTGCCACAAGTATTCCAGTCCCGGACGTATAGCAGCAGGAGACTGTGTTGCTTGGGTCCCTAACCACTGATCAATATGACAGAATGGGCTCCGCGAGTGTCGCATGAGCACACCGTCAGTATAACTCAGTGGGTCAATGAGACACATAAACCGTCAACGACGGCTAGGTCCAGTCTCTTTGTGACGAAACTTCTGACTATTGAAACTCATTCAGGGAGAACTATCTGCATGAGCAAACGACTCGATTTATGTAAGTAACACATACTGTGGGCTGTTCTGCTCGGCCGCTTTAACCTGAGACTAATAATACTACAAGTGTCTCTTTCAACTGACCCAGTAGGGAGGCATACAACTCTTGAATTGTGTATAGCTTTCGCTCAATCATGAGCACCGAAGTAGTTTTCCTATGTCCTGCTAGTCCAATACCGACCCAGCTTAGGTTGCTCTAAAAAATAAACTGTACTCGTCTCCCAAATCTGGAATTTTCCACTTACGCTAACGTGTACATGATCCCATCCTGTTTAACTGTCGGCTTCAGATGGGGATTGTTTAATGAGTTCTGAATTCGTCAGGGTAGTTCACGCAGAAGCCACCCTACTTTTCCTCAATTTGTGTAGTACGTGATGAAGTTTCTCTGGATTCCCTTTTCTGCATTAAGTGTTCGGTACTGGCTGTACCTTTCTGGACGAACTTCGATAACGAATATTGCTGTAGAGAAATACAGTATCCTTTCCCACACTTTGGCCCACATGTATGGGCGCAACTCTCAATTACTTCATTCAGGATAGCGTGTCAGATCTTTGCCTTTAGTAGCCGTACTTCTTGTCTTCATTCAATCTGTTCACGTGAGTCAGCACGTAAACCGCAACGCAATCACATGCCTTCGTGCTTCAGGGAGAAAGACCCTGGTTTTCAGTTTGTTGAACAAAAGGCTCACTCTATAAAATTTTCTCCCAACTACTTTGTCGGTCATTTTAGAAACAAGAACAAGAGGCCACAGAAGAGCGCGTTTTTGCTGATCGCGTTGCTCACGTTGATTGTTGCATTGTTCGAATTATGAAGACGAGGAAAACCATCGATCACAACAGTCTGTTGTCCGAGGTCTACAAGCAACTACAGTTTCCATTAAAGGTAAGCGGAATCTATTTGTAATGTCGTACCTTTTGTAGTCGAAGAGTGGAGTACGTAGCCCAACTGTAGTCCACTCCTCCTAATCTGATCAGTCTACACTCAGTCGTAGACAGGTTGAAGCTCTTGTCGAAGCACGAAAATTGCAACGGTTGTACGCAATCCCGGTTGTCGCATGATCCAGTAAACTTAGCAAATCGTAGGTGAAATTGGAACCTCAGACTAATGTATGATAGTTTCATAAGCACCTTTGTCAATATCAAATCAAGACTGTCAAAGTTTAGTAGGAGGCAAGATTGATGGAAAATTGGTGGGCTTCACTAAGGGTGAAACCGTTGGTGCGTTGCCAGAATTCTCATCAATCTGGTGGGCAATAGTTTTGTGTTCAGCAAACCATTTTACCGACCGATAGTTATTGCCTACCCAAGTGCTCAAAAAATTTACATTTTGGGACTAGGGCGAAGCCTCAAGTCTAGAAAGACATTTTAAAAATGCTTGAGTGGTCAAAGACCAAATTGTTCGTCGTTTTATTTCACGAGGAATCACTACTTATCCGAACGCCCGAACCATCTGGGTGATCAATGTGGTGATGAATTTCAGTTCAGTCTAGGTGAATTTGAATTGCATTTTATTTTTCTGTACACCTTTCTTGACTTGTTGAATTCTAGATATCCACCAACTGTCTTGTTCCCCTGTTTCTTTTGGACCTTAGGGTTCGTAGGTGGTCCATGCGGCACTTGACTTGATGAATACGTTGCGGCTGAGCGACCGCATTAGGGTTTTACTTTGAAGTTCGCAACATAAAATGGAAATGTTCCATAATCGCAATTTTCGAGTTTCAATAAAGTCAAACAAGAGCTTGTTTCGTACAGGTAGACTAATCGGAACTTCCCAAACCCCTGTCTTAAAAATACCATTAACGAAAGATTCAGCTGGCTTCCTGGTGACTCTTATCAAAACCAAATTGGTGTGCAAATGAGTGCATTTTGCCAGCCTTTTACCTTCTTTATTAGAAGGATTCTCTCTTCTAAAGTTGTCATTTCTTTCTGAGTTTAGACACCAGAGATCACTCAACTCTGGATTGTGTGAAATGTACCTACAACGTTCAGTTCACTTTCAACAATCAAACTTATCGACAGAAGGACGGCGTCGCGATGGGGTCTCCTCTAGGTCCCCTATTAGCAGATTTTTTCATGACCAAGTTAGAGACTCAAAAATTAGATGCACTCATTGGACGGTTAACATTATATCGCCGCTACGTAGACGACATATTCGTTCTCGCCGATGAAACCATCAGCACAACAGACGTACTAAGCAGTTTCAATTCAGTCCACGCTAATATCAAGGTTACTATCGAATCAGAACAAAACGGGCAGTTAAGCTTCCTCGATGTCAATGTTAAAAAGAAGACCGACGGGACCATAGAACGCAAGGTCCACAGAAAGCAAACGTGGAAAGGTCAGTATACTCACTTTGATAGCTTCGTTCCGTTGCAACAAAAAAACGCAACCTAATTAGATGCCTGACCGAGAGAGCAATGAAGATATGCTCACCCGAATGCTTAGAAGAGGAACTAAAGTTCTTGGGACGCACATTCCTGCAGAACGGATATCCTGAAAGGTTCGTACTGAAGACTATGGAGGCCGTTCAACCCAAACCTACGGAATTTTCTGTTAGAAAGAAGCCCGTATACATGAGGCTTCCATTCAAAGGTGACTCGGTTGCTGAACTAATCACCAGAAGGCTTAGAAACTCCGTTGATACGACATACTTGGCCGCTAATCTATGTTTGAGCTTCAACTCCAGCCCCACTATCAGATTCTGCTTGAAAGACAAATTGCCACGTTCTACCACCAGCTTTTGTGTGTACTCATTCGTATGCTCGTGCCGAGCATCATACGTTGGTCGTACGACAAGGCATTTGTCGGACAGAATACGAGAACACAATCCCGTATCTCTGAGTGGTAGTGGAAAGAAACCAGGCTCAAGCGCGATTGCAGCACACTTGGCCGAAACCTGTCATATCATAGACAAGGAGCAAGCCTTCACCATCATATACCGGGTACCTCTGAACGGACCACGACTGGTACGATCCAAACTACTATCGATCGCAGAGGCGATAGGAATCCGACTGCTGGATCCACAACTTTGCATCCAAAAGAAACTTGTGCGACCTCTGAACTTGAACTGGCCTACGAAACATCTGGTCCCACAAGTCTGTCTGACATTGACGTCATGACCCATTGACCTACCCCTCACCCAACCCCCTTCCTTTGACTTCTATTTCTCTAAAGTGTAGCCCCGATCTTAACCTTTTCCACGTGATTTCTGCTACCATATAAATTTGTGATGTATTAGCCAAGATGAACAATCACAGAAAACAAGCTTTGTTCGCTACCTTCTTCGTTCTCATGACTACACTGGGTATATTCGGCCGCCTGTTACGAAATAGTTACTCACTTCTGACCGATAGATGTAAATTTCAGTTGATGATGCCCAAGCGTAAAGTCGCTTTTCTAAATTTATCCGTCGTTTGTTATTGCTCACTTTATGCTTTTTTTCTTGCTGTCAAGTGAACTTCCATTGTTTTCATGGCGGTTTTTAGAACATCCGTTGAACGCCTTAAAAGTGACTTCAATTTAATTTCGATCACACAGAATGGGCACGTAGACTTAAAGGACAACGTCAAAATATCCTAAAAAAAAGTCTTTTCCCGCCGAATCAAAACTAATTCAAGTTTTTCCTTTTGGAGGTAGTCGGTGATTCCGGTATTCTTATCGGAATCATTATCCGAATCAAAGGCAAAGAGATCAATAATCGGTGTGTGCCTAAACAAGATGCAGAAATGGAATATGAGGCTGGTGTGCGAATCGCATATTAGTTTCCAGGTGGCGCTTGATTCATGTCCTTTTGAAATTAATATCTTGACTTTAAATTGCGTCCACAAGTCTTGGTCGTAAAGGGGCTGGTGGCTGTCTTTGTTTTGCATAAAGCCGAAACTTTTATGACACTGTAAAAGCACTCAACAACTACCGCAAAGAGCTTGTCACGTCAATACTACTTTGATACCGACGATCTTCTCAGGACTGAGATAGTGGGTCTTCCTGTCCTATTTGTCATCGACCAAACCGGTAGATGATCTCGTGGTCAGTTAGTCGTCTCATGGTTTAGTCACCGTGTCCAACCGAACACGAACATTGAATTGATATCAACACATACATGTGTGATCTTCCCAGATAACCTACCTTTGCGCCGTCGAACTGTCGGAACAGTTCGCTTTTTACTATCAGTTTCGACCAGCGCCTATTGGGGATTTGGACGACGCAGTTGTCTGGCACATACGGGGCTGACTAATGGCGCCAACCGGTCATCTGTGATGCAGATGTATAACTAATCAATATGGCATCCGAAGACCAGCGTCTGAGTTAGCTTGACTAGTAGAGCGCTGGTCTGGTAAGACTAAGTTGTTGGTTTCCTCACCCTTGTCACTCTTCTCTTCCCCAAAGTGGGTACCTTCTTTTCTGCATTAAAAATTTCGCTTGTCATTACTAAAAGGATCTTTGGTTGTCCGTCGTATATCCTGAATAGGTTATCTCTGAGTGACCGGATGCGATTTACCAGCCACGAAGAGGTAGCATGGATTCTATTTGGATAAATGTTGTTGTGTTGGGTAGACGACTTCACCTAGTGATGTTCTCGTTTTCAATCACTAATGAAAAGGCAAAATACATCATCAGTGTACATATGTACGGCGCTATCAGGCCTGTCTTTTGGAGACATATTCGTGCACTTCGGTCAAACAACTTGATTGCCGCATATTTATCATTTGAGGCTTGATTCAATCTAATGGAAAAGTGCTGTTGTTTTTTTGCAGTTTACTCATTTAAGGCCTGACCAAACTTACTGGCTGTTGGCTCCCGCTAGGATTGTCGATGTGAATTCGGCTCGCTTTTTCGTCCTCCTTGTCCACACAGGCCGCCGTTACACCACAAGCTTGTTTTCTTGATGTTTCTACGCGGAGGTATCTTCCCCGGGGGGAGGGGAGTTTAGTCCGTAATTGTTAAAGTGCACTACATTCTATACCTTCTTTTTGTCCTTTATGTAAGTGTTACATAGTTCAACCTGCAGGAGTGTTGTGCGATTTGTCACCTCAGTCAGATTGCTTGGATTATGTCCAAACAGCTTCGAATTGGTCACTGGAGCCCACTTGTTAACGGCATTTGGGGCCTGTGTTGTTTTAGCTGGTTGGTTTCTGGTTGTGATGGGGTATTCTGACAGATTTCTGTCTTCCTGTACGCAGGCGCAACGAGTTATCTGCGTCATATTGCATTGTGTTATTATGTAGAATCTTAAAAACTAGCCTCATTTGGGTGTACTTCTGTATGCTCCGATAGTATACACTTAGCGTGATGTTATGGTGCTGCTTCTCAGTTATTGTGAATGGTCGTTCGTTTCAGCAATAGGCAGCCAAGCCACATTTTCTTTTGTCCAAGGCTTCTGACTTCCCATTTGACAGAACACTATTTCACGTCCATTTCGCGTCACATAGGGCTTGCCTGACCACTGGCAGTTGCATGAACATTTAAGATACATAATGGCCTTGGCTGCTTTCTAAGTTAATGGTGTATGGCATGCAATCCCCGCAGTTCACATTCCGCGTTTCGAAAGTCATCATACCTGGTACTTCGTGATAACCAACTCGTCGTGCTCTATATTACCCGTGATAACGTTAAGTTTTTCCAGGTGTGTGGATGGCATGCAATGTTTTGTTAGTACTTTTGGCACTGAGGCAACCAGCCTTTGAACCTCGATTTCAAAAGGTTATTTTTGGATCGCACAATTAGGGAGTACGACGTATTAATATGGGATGGAATGCGTTCCTCACTACGTCCCGCTTGTGGGCCGAGCTGATCCACATGTTAAGGGTCTTTTTTTACCTTGAAACAACCATTTTCTTCTAAGGACTCTCTTTACATCATTCACTTATACTCAGCCTACTTTATGCATTTTCAGGCCTCAGATGTGAAGAAACGGATTGAGAATCTAATTGAACGGGACTACATGAAACGGGACACCACCAGTGCGGCCACATACCATTACGTTTCCTAAACCACAATAGTCTCACGCTGTGACATCGAGTTTTGTACATGCACACGTGCCTCGTACTATTCACTAAGAAATGAGTATCTCCTCAACTTGTTCACGTAGATCTCGACGAATGTAGTCCTCATCTCCCAACCTGTACATAACATCCGTTCAATGAGAGTTTATTTGCTTATTCCCGGTTCTTACGTCACCACTGTTCTGCACATTTTCATGATCAATCTTTGGTATTACGCCACGGATCCCTTCGAACAATATTCGACACTCGACTGTCCGAGGCATTTCACAGCGAGTTCCAGTAGAATACAAGAAGGAATTGTTCGGAGTATCAATTCCTGTCAACAAATAAGTCTCCCGATTTGGTTTGGTGTACATCGGAGATCGATCGTTCTTCCGCGTATCACATCTTACATGTTTTGTGGTTACTCTGCTCACATACGGACTGTGATGAACATTCAAAGCAAAATCGATTTCCAGTGTAGTGATATAGTCGCCTGTATCTACTCGGCTGTGTCATCGCCTCTTGCTAGCTGTGAAGTTACTAACGCACCGAGATCGCAGAGCGAACCAGATCTGGACCAATAACCATTTCATGTTATGCACTCCACTCATCAAAGCATTCAACATATCGTGTAGAAGAGCTCCGCATGTGACACTCTCTCGTATGGATTGATGCTGCATTCAAGTGCCTGATTTCGTTGTTCCCTTTCCCACTCACAACTGTTTTGGTCACCAGCTCGCGTTAGAGTACCAATGATACCCTAGTTTTGTCTTTTGGGCAGCAGGAGTCCCAAAGGAATGCCAGGAAGCATATTTCATCCGAATCGACCTTCTTCACTCATATACGAATTGAGTTTGGACGCCCGTTCTATGCAGCGTGGTACTTCGCCGCTACAATGACAAGGTGCTGTTTTTATTAGTAACCTGCTGTAGCTGACCACTTTGTGTGTCTAAAATAAATGGGACCGTTCACGGAAGAATCTGGCGTCCCATGCCAATGATGAATGATCACTCACCTGGTGTTATTTTTCAGGTTTCCTATCTGCTGTTTGTACTCATGGCCGTTTCGCTCTTCTGATCTTTATTTTGAAAATTCAGTAGCGTTGCCAATACAAAACAGCCCACACTGTCACCTGGCACGGGAATGCTGTTTTACTAGAATGTCGATCTCTGGTACTCCTAGTTGCCTGACCACTCAATCACTTGGGCGTGCTCAATGTGTGTGTTGAGTCTTCACGTTATTGACCCCCTTTTTCCATGCCCATATGACGATCGGGTAGACTTTGTAGCTCTAGCTAAAGTGAAGGAGAAAAGTAACTATCGGTATCATTCATCATGGTCCTGCCCTTCATTTTAGGCTGTTATATTTGAAAAGGTTTTAGCGAACAGTTCACGTGCACTTCCGATATATCAAGTGTTTTTTTTTCAATTTTGCATGTAGCCCTGCAAAATGAGGCGAACATCAGGTAGGCTAAATGACATCCATTACGCCCCTAACATTTTGACTCTCAGACGGGAAGTCCACTCACCGTGAGTAATACAAAGCTAACGCTTCTTCGGCTTTCGCTTGAAAAGTTGCTTCTGGATGTCGTATGTGATGGCGAATGCAGCAATTGGAGTTTGACAAAACCGAACAACGATATCAGACGTACTATGACAACAGGACATGTAGCACCCTTGTTGGAAATGAGGACACTGGATGTAGAAAATTACGACTGCACCGAAGATGCCGAGCTAAGTTTAAGGGATGATATGTGGTGGAACTGACGCTGTTGAAACTGAATAGTTAGACGCTTGAATAGCACCCCCGTCATTGCGTGACAATTCAGGTGTCAGACGCCGAACTAGCGCCAGATGTATCATTGGAAGAATACTTCTTGGAACTTCCCTTTTAGTTGGGGAATCAATGAAGGGGTACAAGGGCAAAGCGCATACTTTTCAGTGATGTATACGTTAACCCAGTTATCTGTAATTTACCTGCAGATTTCGTGACCAGTAAACTACCGGAGCCACTGGTCAGGCTTCACGTTAAGAACAATGGCCCGCGCCATCGGGCTCCCATATACTTCCTGCTTACTTTATCTATCGGTTCTTTTTATAGACACTGTTGCGTTCTACCGATAAGATGTTTTAGAAGCGATAGCCTTCTACTCCCCACAAATATTACTCTTTTCATGCGTTGCCGTCGAACCTTAATTTCAAGTTAGAAATAAGGTGAATGGTTTGTTGGTTTATTTGAGCTGCTTATGTGCAACGGCAGTCATCACCCGGCTTTTTATTCACGGGGGTCATTTGCCTCGTGAGTTCTTCACCTTTCTTCCAGAGGATCTTGTCCAAGTGAGCTATAACATGTTCTTGACCTGATAGTGAGTTCTACATCTGACATACTGATCGTGGCAGCCGGCACACATATAGAAAACCATCATTCCATTCCACCTCCCAGCTACAAAAACGAGCGCTTTACTGACTCGTGACTCAGCAGAAATCACACTGATAGGTGCATTCCTAAATGCAATAACTTACAGGCCGAACTCACGTTGCCTTTAACGGCAAGCGAGAACCGTGGGTTCGCCCAGCGGTACGTGTATGTGTAACGCAAGGTACGTACCAGCTTGGCCTCCAAAAGCTGGACCAGAGCCTACGACTAGCCACTTGCTGTGCCTGAACTGCCGGTTGGGCGCAATCATATAGTTGCCCAGAAGTGCATGGTGACAGCAATTCTGAGTTCCTCGGATCGTACTCGAAATCCGCGTCTTCAAGCCTACAGGAAGCGTGAAGGGCAAACTAAGATTTTCTGGCGATAAGCGGTTTTACACCGTGTGTTCTTCATGTCGTTTCTTCTGCAGCCTCATCACCACTTCCCACCTCTAGCGGATTTATTCGGGATAGCGTGCTCCTTAGCTAACAACTTTAATGACTTGATCGCTCAACGCGTACCTTTTCCATTTGCTGACGAAATCCTAGGCCAGTGACCACCCTCAATTTATCTAGCATTCAGCCTGAGATGAAGTCATCGTGGGCTGCATTCATTACTGTTACGGCTCATAGGAAGACTTTGTGCTAAGCTTCTACGCAGTATATTTATTCTATAAATACGATTGAAAATAGTCGGCTTCTTGGGGGATTAGTATTTACCACGTTGTCAGCATCTACAGATAACATTCGCAGACTTTCTACAATGGACTGCATGAACGCGGTTTTCAGTTACGTGACGCGCGTAATTGTAAGGCCTAATCCATCGTGCTCGGAAACGAATTTCAAGGGGTCAACGGTTATTGCAAGGAGGTTCTGAAACCATCCAGGTGTGCTAGCAGGCGTCACCTCACCATATTTAAAAATTGATGAGGATTCGAACAGTGTGTCTGTCAGCCAGACCCTTGAACGGAAGCAAATATTTGACCGTCATACAACTCTCGGCAACCTCACCAATCGTGAAAACGAACTTGTACCCCACTCGAACTTGCCGGCTTCCCATCGGTCTTATGGTTCCTTTTTCAACAGCACGGCTATGAAAAGTTATCTTTAACTGTTTCCTCTAATCGTTCCGGTTCGGTCATTGTCCTTATGCTCTGGGGTCTTTTGTAGTGATACCATTCTGGCCCAACGTAGGTCATTTGGCCTCACTGGAAAACGAGCGTCGATCGAATTGAGCAACTGACTGCTGTTGACCTATGTTCCCCTGAAAAGGTCGACCTATTTCAGAATTTGAAGGTCTTAGTAATAAGTGTTCGCCTTTTTAACCTGATTTTCAAGGCAACCAAACTCGAATGGACAGTTGCCGGGCGGAGAGTGCCTGATAGTTTCTGAATCGCCAGGTAGGTGGTAATGCATGAAGGGTTTGTATAGAGGCATAGCGTTTAAGACTAAATGAACGCAGTATTGGCACAGAGTGCGACATTCCTCATATGTATGCCCTCGGTAGTGACTCGCTGTATGAAAATTAGCGTTTTCCTTTGCGTTGCTAAAGGCTCTCGTGCGTCCTCTCTGGGATAGTTATTCAGAAAAGAAATTGTCTGTCTGTCCACCACTTGGCACTTGCCAAGTCCAAGTGATCAGAGATACCCTACCTTTTGAAACGAGGAATAATGGCCGGAAGTACCAGTGTTTGGACCACGGAGGAATTAACCAGAGTAGACGATAATGGGCTTTTTGTAGTGAGCGGTCTGTCTGTGCTGGAACAGCAACTGCAAACAACCGTCAGCAGGCAATCATATCTATGAGGCTTACAAACTGTCCAAGTGATAATCTACCGCCAATACGCACTGCTCTTTGCGACTCATGTTGCACGGGTACGATCGTTGGTTACGTAGAGCGTGGGATCCATCTTAGAATCAGTACATGTGGCGCAAACTTATGTAAGCCCGACAGCCCAATCCATTAGCACTGAAGTCCGAGTCATACATGTTGGCAGTTTAATCTAAAGCTTTTTGTTCAGCAGATCTAACCACCTTGCGGGGGGTTTTACCAAACAATGCGTTGAGAGAAAAATTACTGGAAGGAACGGATGGACAACAAAAGAACGATGGGATGGAGAAAAAAGAATGAATCTGACAAAAGGATTGGCAAAGTTGTTAGAGAAAACATCCGTATACATCAACAGCACCTTGACTGATTTTCCACTTCATTGCTGGGACTGACCGACAGGATTCATTATGCCCCAAAAAACAGAATGGACGGTGCTATCCGAATGAATCTGCAGACACGCATGTTAAAATACAGCTATATTGGCACACACCAGCCCTCACATGCATCGGAAATTTGTTCAAATATGTGCGTATTTACAGCCATGATTCTTTCTAGTTTCTCTGGTTAGATCATTTGGGCAGAAATGTTTGTTAGTCTGACTGGGGTTACAGGCAAATAGTGATACAATTTTCCCGAAGACACGTAGCATGAAGAGGCGCCCGGACGAACAGAAATTTGTGTGATAACAGACAATCCTCAGATGGATATGCTTCGCAATACACACGCCATACCACGAAACCAGCGCAAGTTAGCGTCACCTGAAGAGCATTGATCACTTTTCCCTATGTTGCCGACACCCTTTTTGCTCGACGTGAAACACAGCACGTGCCCAGCAGATACGTACTCTCCCTCCGGACATAAAATGCACAAAATCTGGAAGAAGCCTGCACTGCCAGAACCTTATCATGAGATCTCCAAACAGAATGATCCAAAAAGTAGCTTGAGCTATGAAGTTTACGAAAGCATTGAGTTCTGCTGTGTTACTGTAGACCGGAATTCAGTAAAAAATTTTGAACGACTTAATAACAATCGCTCAAATCACCGTCGTAAGAATTTCTTGTCCTAATAGTAAGATGAACCTTTTTTGGGTGTTTCTTGCGTGTGACCGCAATGTAACTTCTCTCGAAAAAGCCTGGGATGCTTACCTGTGAAAGGAAGAAGGCCTTTGCTGGGGAGTTATTTATTAGAAAATGCCAACTGACCGGTTACAGACTTTGGACAGGGAAGCAAGATTCTCATTTGCATCTTATTTACAAAAACTGGACATCCACCTTCTCCTGAAAGCGTCTTCTTGAACTTTCCTGAATATTCGTTGACTCCAATCATTCATTGCTCAAATCCAAGCAAATGCTACAAAGCAGCTCCACAAATTCCGCAACGGATCCCTATTTTCCAAGAAACGCAAAGGGATATTCCACGCCAACACATACTACTCGCACGCATCCCCATCAGTAGTATCACCGTTACCCCTGTATATAATGGTTGTCATTATGGCAAATATCTTGACCTCTGTCTGTGATGGAAAATTTCTACCTATGCGCGAGGGTCTTGATTTTGGTTTCAGGCTAAATGAGAGCAGCAACTCTTAACATCCAGCAGAATTTTGTGTGTGAAAAAGCCGTGTTCAAAAATCCTGCTCCCATTGCTGATAAAAATTCTGACTCTAAAACTGCGCCGGCAAACGGTAGAATTATGACCACGGAACACGTCCAATCAGGCACGACCTTTTGAGTTTCAGAAGAGCTTGGTAAGTAATCAGTATTTTTTACCTGGACAATGTATCGCTTTTGACACAAATGCTTCATCATACCAAGTGAACAGGTTATCAAACTGGCCAAGTTTTAAGAGAGACGAGGGACCAATTAGTAAGGCATCCTCAGATTAGCACAGTAGATCATTGTTGAATGTCAG